TTTTTTCTTCCCTGATGGCACGGGCATATTCCAAGATGACAATACCAGGATTCATCTGGCTCAAATTGTGAAAGAGTGGTTCAGGGAGCATGATACATCATTTTCCCACATGGATTGGCCACCACAGAGTCCAGACCTTAACCCCATTGAGAATCTTTGGGATGAGCTGGAGACGACTTTAGGCAGTGATCCGACTCTCCCATCATCACTACAATTTTGTGAAAAATGAATGCAACTCTGTATGGAAATAAATGTTGTGACCTTACATAAGCTTATCCAAACGATGCCATGGCCAATGTGTGCTGTAATCGAAGCTAAAGGTGGTCTAATAAAATATTAGAGCGTGTGACTTTTTTTGGCCAGGCATTGTATTTTATTTAATGGTTACCTTTAAACCTTCATGCATAGTTTTTCTGTTTCAGTAGATTTTGGATGCATGGTTACTCTTTTTAAAAAAAAATTAATAATGGTCATACATTTTTTTGTAAGTAACGATAGATCACATAGGACTACCTTCATATGTAACTGTTTACATTTTTATTTCTCTTTGCGGGAGGAGAATTTCCTTTACTTCTCGTCTCTGTTTTGCCTGAATTGGTGTATGTGGTTGTCACAGGAAGAGGAACGCATGGACAAAAATATAAAGATTGTCATAAATTGTAACCCTTCCATTCCTAAAAAAAAATATGTTTCTGTCTATGTTGGAGAGATTTCCTGCAATTAGGGGAAGTAAATGGAAATCTTCCTAAAAGGGTCACAGATGGCAATAAGCAGCTGACATATATTAAACCCTTCTCGAAAGGACTTCACATTTTCTGATGTGGAGGAATTATGTTCTGAAAGGAGGGGTCTCCTAATGTGAAAACTGTTTTTCCATGTTTTTAATGGTCTGGTATGGATTTTAGAGGGACTGCACATTATTTTTTTAACCTTTTTTTTCCACCATGGAATCACATTCCCTGGTGATTGGATCAAGGTGCATGAGTTACCCATGTGTATATAAAAGCTGGGGCACGTTCTTGACACTCATTAAGGTGCCCATACATTACATTACGATTATCGTACGAGAATCACTGGTAATCCCGCGATCATACGATAATCGCAAAGTGCATGGAAGGCGTGCGACCGTTTCTACTGTACGGTCACACGTCTTCCGTCGAACAAGCAGGCTTGAAAACCCGCTGAGAATCGTACGATTCTCGGCGGGTTAGTGGCCTGCTTGTTCGCCAAATGCCGCACGGGGCG